TGCAACACTCACTTCACTGGAGTCCCTTTTATGCTGGGTTTCCTCACTAGAATGTGAGCTCGAGGAGGTCCTCATTGCATCTGCCTTGTTTCCCACTATATTCCTCATGTCTGGCACACAGTGGAACTCATCAAGTGAATAAATGAGTGCCCCAATCTGTGAACTGTTGGAACAACTTTACCCATTAAAATAAGAGAGGGGCACCTTAGTGGCTCAGTTGGTTAAGCGTCCGACTTCAACTCAGGTCATGATCTCACAGCTCATGAGTTCCAGCTGCGTGTCCAGCTGTGCTAACAGCTTGGCGCCTGGAGCCTCTTTTCAGATTCTGTGTCTCCTCCTCTCTCTGTCCCTCCCCTGCTAGCACTCTGTCTCTCTCTCTCTCAAAAATAAATAAACATTGGAATGCCTGGGTGGCTCAGTTGGTTGAGCATCCAAGTTTGGCTCAGGTCATGATCTCACAGTTTGTGGGTTTGAGCCCCACGTAGGGCTCTGTGCTGACAGCTCGGAGCCTGGAGCCTGCTTCAGATTCTGTGTTTGCCTGTCTGTCTGCCCCTTCCCCACTCGTGTGTGCTATCTGTCTGTCTCTCTCAAAAGTAAAAATAAACATTAAAAAAAAATTTTTTTTTAAAACATTAATAAAAAAACTTGTTAAATTCAAGTTTGCTTCTCTTAGAACTACAGCTGTGTATGATTTCTGTATGGGAGATTCCTTAAACTGTTGTTTAGGTAAAATAACACGTATTTCTTTCTCATAGCAACAGTATAGATAGGACACAGTGGAATGTAGTAAGGAGTCATCACAGCCTTTATGTTAGATGTGCTGTATTTCACTGGCTGAATCTGGAGGACAAAACATTATTAGCATCTATTTGTAGGTACATATTAAAAAAATAGAAAGTGATCAAGGCCAAGAGGTACCACAGCAAATTGTGATATGCAAAGTGGGAATGTAGAAGAGTTTTAGGGTCCTTTTAGGGACCCATGACAGAGTCTGCTTAGAGTATGCAGTGGAACATGGGTAATAAGGAAAGTGGGAGCCAGGGCACAATGGAGCGGATGAGGGGCGGTGGAAAGAGAAAGGCCACCGGATTTTCAGATGATTGGATTATTCCTCTCAGGGCTGGAGACCTGGGTGGTTTTAGGTAGTTTTGTACTAAACTCAGTACTTTATATTGCATGCATAGGTAATTGTATAATTCTATTTGGAAAAAAAAATGCCATTTAAATCTTATTTAGAGATAAGTGAAATTGATCAGAATTGTCAAGAAAAGAATCAGTCCCAACAGGTATTTATTTTCTGTCATAGACACAAAATCGGAGGATCCCCCTACCCACCACACGGAATAGCATAGTAGGGAGAGAGCCAAAGGTGCCACTGCTTTCCAAACCTGCGTGCCTGTCTGTATCCCCTACAACCAGGATTCTGTGACAGGTTGGGCTTAGGTTCCCACTGACCTTGTTCATAAAAGAGACTGGGCATCTTTCCAACACTAGGCCCAAAGTGGCTATGACCCTTATTCTCTCAGAGGGTCTCAGGAGAGAGCCTGAAGATCCCTGAGCCTCAGGGATGTTGTAGGGATGGCTGTGCAGGAAAGATTCCCAGGGACAGAAAAGAGGAACGTTGAAAACACATTTTGGAACCAAGTAACCAACTTGATAGCCTTATAGATATGCCCCGCTACAGTTCTGGTGTGCATCCCAGCCCCGATTTGTTTGTTGGCAGAGCCACATTAATGGCCATAGATATCCCCCAAAGTGTAAAAACATATATACTTAGGGATTCTGTTGTTTACCAAGTTATTCTTCACACAGATGGTGGTCACTAAATACTTCTTGCAGGTGGTTACCTCTCTTTTTTTCCACCCAGTAGTATTTTATTTTAAACACATTTCTTGATGGAGCCTAAACTTAAGACCAGCACATAGAAAATAAGCCAGTGTTGGGAAGCCTAAACAGTGAGGTCCTGGGTTCATCCCAGAGTGTGGAGCCTCCATAGTCATAGTGGGTGTTTTTTGTCATTTTTGTTTTTGGTTGGAAATAGTATTAGTACATGATTCTAAAGTGATGAATTTTTTTAATTAAAAATATTTTCTAATGTTTATTTTTGAGAGAGAGAGAGAGAGAGAGAGACAACCCTAATGGAGGAGGGGCAGAGAGAGACCGAAGAGACACAGAATCTGAGGCAGGCTCCATCCAGGCTCTGAGCTGTCAGCACAGAGCCCAATGGGGGGCTCAAACTCATGGACCATGAGATCATGACCTGAGTTGAAGTTGGATGCCCAACCAACTGAGCCACCCAGGAGCCCCGAAAGTGGTGAATTTTAATGGAGCAAAAAACTTTACTTGGAAATGTTTGTTTTTTTTATCCTCACCAAAGAGAAAATGGGGGTTTCTGAGACCGTTGGAATTTCTTTGCTCTGTTATCTCTTCCCCTGGTGTGGGATGATCAAATTCCACATTTCCAGGTTGCTAGGAGACAGGCAGCCTATCTTGTAGATACTGGCACGTAAGATCTCTTTATTCTTTGGACTTCTGTATTTCTCAGAATTGTCATGCTTCTTTTCTAAACCCTAAATTATGCAGAGACAACATGATTATATGACCCAGCTCAGGAAATATAAAGCGGGTCAAAAATACCAAGCTAAGTTTAAATAAAGAACATTACTGGCTGCAGTATATTAAGGCATCATTCTTGCAAAGTCCATATTTGCCTCTCTTTGCTGATGACTCTTTTGTGACATTTTCAGGGCACAAAAGTGGTTATGCGGGAGTAGGCTGAGAATACCCTATCTAGAGATTCATATAATGTTGAAAGTATTGCAAGTGGGGGCACCTGTGTGGCTTAGTGGGTTGAGCCTCTGACTTCGGCTCAGATCATGATCTTGCAGTTCATGAGTTTGAGCCCCGTGTCGGGCTCGCTGCTGTCAGCGTGGAGCCTGGTTTGGATCTTCTGTCGTCCCCCTCTCCCTCTGCCCTTTCCCCACTTGTGTGCATGATTTCTCTCTCTCTCTCTCAAAAACATAAATCATTAAAAAAAAAGTATTGCAAGTGAACCTTGGCCCCAGGAACTCAATTTTTGTGTTCTTAAAAAATAGTGTCTCAGTGTCATTTTTTTTCTTTTTCTTTTTTTTTTTAAATTTGTGTGTGAGAGAGAGAGCTTGAGCGGGGGAGGAGCAGAAGGAGAGGGAGAGAGAATTCCAGGGGTGCCTGGGTGGCTCAGACTGACTTTGGCTCAGGTCATGATCTCAAGATTAATGGGTTCCAGTCCCACATCAGGCTCTGCACTGACATCATGGAGCCTGCTTCAGATTCTCTCTCTCTCTCTCTCTCTCTCTCTCTCTCTCTCTCTCTCTCTGCTCCTTCCCTGGTCTCTCTCTCTCTCTCAAGTAAATAAATAAGCTTAACAAAAAAGTGAGAGAGGGAGAGAGAGAGAATCCCAAGCAGGCTCTGTGCTGTCACCAGGGAGCCTGATGCAGGACTGCATTCCACAAACCTTGAGATCATGACCTGAGCTGAAATTAAGAGTCAGACACTTAACTGCCTGAGCCACCCAGGTGCTCCCAGGAACTCTATTTAAATAATTTACTGATGGGGGGTGGGGAGGTCCTAGGATCATGTGGCTTTACTCTAGCTATTTTGCCCTATATGCTTTCCTTAAAAGGAAAATTCATCTTACATTACCATACAGTTTTTTGGGGAGGGCCTTAAGTTTAACGTTAGAGTACTAGGGTTCAAAAAAATGTGCCTAGATGGTAGATGTTGATAACTTGGCACCAGAATTCTTCTGAAATTGAATACATTGCAATATGTTTAAAAAAGTTTTTATTTATTCATTTTGAGAGAGACAGAGCAAGTGGGGAGGGAGAGAGAGAGAGAGAGAGAGAGAGAGAGAGAGAGAATCCCAAGCAGGCTCCTCACTGTCAGCTTGGAGCCTGATGTGGGGCTCGACCCCATGAAACTCAAGATTGTGACCTGAGTTGAAACAGTTGGACGCTTAACCAACTGAGCCACCCAGGCACTCCTGAATACATTGCAGTATTAATCAGAAGTTTTTTGTTGGCTTCTGATTTTGAATGGCATAGGGATTGGAGACTGAGATGGTTAGTTAAAATTTAAGGAATTCGGGAGCTCTGCTTCATGTTACCACCGGTCAGGCTCTCTGTTTTCCTGTCTGAATTCAACGTGGAGTTTTTTGTAGCAGTTGGTTTAGAAGGGTGTGTGTTTTGGGAGTGGCTCAGTTGGTTCCCTGTATCATGATGGCCCACAGCAGGACCCAGACCCCTGAGTCAGTTCCATCGATAAATACGGTTATTACTTTACAGATGGACTCCCATTCTCAGCCAGTTCATCTTTTTTAAATGAGCTGTAGTTTATTGTCACACTATAAGAATTAAATCTAATGTCTTGTTCTATGAAGATGAGTTTGAGTAGATCGTGCAGACTGGCAATGACAGGAAGACAGACACCCTTTTCATTGTGAGTTATTTGGAGTAACTGGGGTTGTAGATTTGACCGAGAAAGTCTCTGAGATAGGGAAGAGGGAGAATTACTGACAGAGGTTATTTGTAGAATTATGTAGAATTTAATGTTTTCGTAAAGGTCTTAATTACTTAAGATTTAATTTCTATGTGCAGACTGAATATAATGGTAAACCTTGGTTTGGTATGATTTAGCTTTGTTTCAACAGATGATTATTGGATTGTTTTTCTAACTTAAAAAATTACATGAGTGGTAAATGTTCATTACCAAAAATTCAGTATACATATAAACAAGAAAAAGGAAAAATTCCCTTATGATTGTATCAGCTAGAGGTAAACATTGTAAACTGTAGATGTCTATCATTCTGACTTTCTTGTCTTCACTTAACTGTCTTTCAAAAGCAAATTATGTTTTGCCTGCTATTTGGTAAATTTTGCTTTTTTTCATGTACAGCATAAATACCCATTCAAGCCATCACATTTTATTTTTATGGGTGCTTAGTAATCCATTGTGAGATGACCTATAATTTATTTAAAAGTCCCCCATGATTGGAATTTAGGTTGTTTCTATATTTTGCTGCAGTAACATTAATATCTACCCTTTTGCCCCTTTATTTTCTTAGGATAAATTCCTGAGAGTAGAGTACTTTGTTTCTTGCTTTAAAAAATATATATATTTTTAAAATTTTTTTCAGTGAGAGAGCAAGAAAGAGCACGAGTGGGGGAGGGGCAGAGAGAGAGAGAGGGAGACAAAGAATCCAAAGCAGGCTCCAGGCTCTGAGCTGACAACACAGAGCTTGATGCGTGGCTCGAACTCACAAGCCGTGAGTGAGATCATGACCTGAACTGAAGTGGGAGGCTCAACTGACTGAGCCACCCAGGCTCCTGAGAGTAGAGTACTTTGTAAAGGATTTGTACGTTTTAAGATTTTTGAAACACATTGCCAGATAGCTTTCCAGAAAGCTATTCCAGAAAGGCCATTCCAGTTTTCAGTTTCTTCTCTAATTGGCTTTATACTTGGATTAAAATGTGGAATTTTTATTTAGTTGCAGAATGAGGAAGAGCCTGGAGAGCCAGAACAGGCTGTAGGTGACGCTCCTCCACCTTACAGCAGCATCTCTGCAGAGAGTGCAGGTAGGTAACCCGCAAGGTGACTCTTGAACTCATGAAATGCACTTAGCCAGAGACTTGTCCAGTGTGTGTTTGTCTTTGCCTTTGCTTCAGCTTTCCTTAAGAAGTCTTTGACGTTGTTTGTAGTTTGTAGCCGGAAGTGGAAAAAACTCATGTTACTTTTCTGAAAAACACGTAAAACTCCATCTCAGTATGTCTTTTTTATGGAACTCCATTTCATTCCAATAGGCCCTTCATAAAAAGGAAGTAGAAATTCAGGAACTAGGTGATCATCTGATTTTTTTGTTCTTTTTGTAGTTTCCTCATTAATTGTTTTGCTCTTTGTGATGTTAGTGCCTGCGACCTGGAACATAGTACATTTGATTGATTTGTGCTAGTAAATTCTTAATTTAAAAGAAAAAAAAACAAAACTAAAAGTCTCTCAGTTCTTTCATAATATTCCTCATAGTTCAAGCCCTCCTTGAATAATCTTTTGTCTTCACATTTTATGCCGAATTATCTATTTAATTTTCACATATATACATACAAGGGATGGGGAAAAAGAAAGAAAATCTCAACAGTTGAGGACTTTTGGTAGTTTAAAGCTTCCTGATAAGCAGTTCTGCTTTAATTGCTGAAAATGGACCAGTTTTGATGGAACCTCTTCATTTTCTCTAAAAGAGAAATGTGGCATGAAATCGTGCATGGTGCCACCATTGAACCCATCCTACTGCCAGGGTAGATAGGCAAGTTGAAGACAGCATTTATCCCAAAGAGCCTCATAATCCTTTTCAATACAGTATTTGGGCAGCTATTGTCAGTTGATGAGGGCTTACTTTGGTTGGTAGTCTCTGGGGCCCTGAGGCTGCCGTTTAATTAAGAAGAACACAGGTCAGAAAGTTTTTTCCCTCTACTCTGGCTTCAAATTTTGAACTCTGTATCCTTGTATTAAGATTCTTTTATTTATAAGCATCTAAAACTAACAATGCTAACTTCCGGTTTTTGAGGAATTGCAGGGTGTCTCCTTGAATCAAATTAAGATGAAAACACCAAGACTTGGGAAAGAATTGCAAAGCCATGCCGTATTTACTCATTTCTACCCAGACTATAAGTACTAGTTATCCATTAAATACATCCACTGAAAATTTAACTCATTAATAAGAAATTTGGTTCCTGTTTTTTTAATGATAAAAGTCTTTTATATTTAGCTACCCAGAATTATTAAGAGGTAATTTTTTTCCTGAATATCTGAGTTTGTACTTTCTGTAATTGTAAAAAGTTAGAACCATTTTTGAGACAAATCTTTTTCAAACACTTCCTTCCCTTATTCACTTATATCTCATATTCTTTGTTTACATTTTTTCTTATGATTTAGGGATTGCAACCAGACACATTATCTGGAAGATATTCTGTTCTATACTATAGTGATGCCTTTATTCATTGACATTTGTAGAACTTTGATTCAAGAATCAGATTCTCCCTTAGCTGTCAGATGGTATTTCCCATAGCTGTCCTTACAGAAATCCCTTTAATCTTTCTCTTTTGTTGTTGTTAATCTTGCTGTGGCCCTCAACAGCAAAAAACGAAGCTTCTTGAGATTGGGTATAAATTAGAGGTAAACTACTTCTAGAATAGAGCCTGAAGAATACTCTTGTGAATAAAGTCTTTGGATTTTATAGCATTTTGTCTAACTACACAGAAGCCTTTAAAACAAACAAACAAATAAAATACATAAGTAATACATAAAAATAAAATAAAATAAACACCCAAACTTTTAACTTCCTGAGTCTCTACTGAGCTCTTTGAGTTTCAGATGAGTGAAGTTTCAGGGAAATCTTTTTTAGGGATCATAAGTTACTCAAGAACATTAATTTTTTGTGTATGAACTGGGGTTTTCCATTTTGACTTTTTTTTTTTAAAAAGGAAACCTCTAAAATGGTTTAAACGGCCTTTTCCCCCTTTGTTGTTAAATTAACATTGCTAATTTTTTTTCAGATAAATGCTATGTGTACCTGTTACTCCATTTATGAGGAAAGTGATTAGAAACAATATGACACATGCATGTTGGTAGGGAAAAAAAAGAGCACAAGTCATTATTTCGCACACTCTACGTATTTTAATTTGTGATATATAAATTGAACAGTCTAACAAATATTGGTTGTTGTTGTTCTGAATGTATTAAATAAACTTGAAAGATTGTCACTAAACTTTTCTTGGTAACTTAAAATGATGTGAGTGTGTATATTGATGGATCCCATTACAAAATATTTTGAAATAGGGAAATAAACATGTTGTTAATTTTCTTCAACTTAAGGTGGTAGGTATCAGTTTTATTCATGTATTCAGAATTACTATGTTAGTAGGCTAATTTAAATTGTACATTTCTGTTTGTAATAACTTAGTTTGACTTGATAAATAAAAAGAAATTTGATAGAAGATTATGCAGTGTTTTATAATGTATGTATCACATTAATTATATATGTATGTATTACATTAATGTATATATTATAATGTATGTGTGTGCATGTATCTTAAATAGTAATTTTGACATGGAAAAAAACAAGTTCTTTAAATTGGGTTAGGTGGCAGCTTTAGTTTCAATAACACATTTTCCTATATTTTCTTCTAAAAGCTTTAATATTTTATTTTCATATGTAGATTTATATTCCATCTGATATTGTTTTTTTTCTGTATAGTGTAAGATAGTGGTCAAGATGAATTTGTTTTTCTGTATGGATCAGCAGTTGGTACAGCACCATTTATTAAAAAGACCATTCTTTCTTCCCTGCCCTACAGTGTCACCTTTGTTGTAAATCAGATGACCATATATGTGTGGATCTCTTTCTGGACTCAGTATTCTAATGTTTATTTATTTTTGAGAGAGAGCGACATAGAGTGAGCAGGGGAGGGGCAGAGAGAGGGAGACACAGAATCCGAAGTGGGGTCCAGGTTCCAAGCTGTCAGCATGGAGCCTGACACAGAGCTTGAACCCACGCATGAACTGTGAGATCGTGACCTGAACCAAAGTTGAATGCTTAACCGACTGAGCCACCCAGGCACCCCTGGACTCATTTTTTTGTTCTTTGGTCTGTTTATTTATCCTTATGCCCATCCCCTACTATTTTAATTGTAGAGCTTTATAATCTTGATATCTGGTAATGTAGGTCCTTCACACTTAACTGCGCTTCAAGATTGCTTTGGTTTTTCTTGGCCTTTTGCATATATATACATTTTACAATTAAATAGGTTTGTCAGTTTCCATAAACTGTAACAAAAGAAAACAGTAATTCTGCTAGAATTCTAGTTAGAATTGCACTGAATCTGGGATCAGTTTGAAGAGCATTAACATCTTTATAATACTGCTTCCAGTCTGTAAACATGATATATCTCTCCATGTAATTAAGATCTTATTTAATTTCTCTCAGTAGTATTTTATAGGTTTCAACATTGAGTACTTATATATTTATTACTAGATTTACTTCTCATGTTGTTGTAAAAAATGGTCCATATATAATTTTACTTTCTGTTTGTTGCTGGTATATGGAAATACAATTGATGATTTATATCCATCCAAAGACTTTGCTAAATTCATATATTAATTCTAATAGGCTGTCTGTAGATTCTCTTGAATTTTCTGGGTCTATAATCATGTCATCCATGATTAAGGACAGTTATTTCTTCTCTTCTAATACTTCTGTCTTGTATTTCCTTTTCTTGCCATATTATATGAACTAGTAGGATCTTTAAGGTAATGTTTGATAGGAAGTAGTGACAGTAGGCATTTTTGTCTAATTCTAATCTTAGGGGAGAAAGCTTTTAAAAATTTGCAATTAATTATGATATTGACTCTAGGTATTTTGTAGAGACTTATGATCAAATTAAGGAAGTTTTATTCCTAATTTGCTAAGTGTTTTTTTATTATCAGTAGGTGTTGAATTGTGTAAAATGCTTTTTGTGTCCATGTGAATACAATAGAATTTTTCTTTTTTCTGTTAATGAGGTGAATTGTATTGATTGATGATTTCAGTAATATATTACAGTAAAATTGGAAGTTAATTACAATTAACCAGAAGAAAAAGAAGAGAGAAAAATGTTAATCTTGATGAACTATAGGACTTTTTTCAAAATGTTTGTTTTTTAAAAAAAATGGTGTAGAAATTTAATAGATTTTTAAATATATCTTTTCTAATAAATATTGAGTTCCTTATCATAGAAGTTAATGAGAATGAAGATACATTAAAAAGAGGAAATGAAAGATTTAATTCAGATAAATGATGGCTCTGTAACTGAATTAGTTACCTCAGTTCAGTTACCTGTAACTGAATTAGTTACCTGAACTGATTAGGCACATCATAGAAAACAGTACCTGGTAAAACTAATGGGTAAGAATCAAAGTGCCAGAATAAACTCGTGGGAAATGAATTTTAACTTTTTTATTAAGTTGGTTTTCCTCTTTATAGTTGGGAGGAAACTATGGTACAGCTTACAGACACACAGGTGATGTATTTTTGGCTTAAATATTGTCTTTATGCCACTGTTAATACTGAGTGCCTTTGGTGAACATATCAAGTGACAGTTGAAAAAAGTGTTCCAAGGCATTTGGGAGGGAAGGCAAAGTGATTTAAATGAATCTGCTTAAATAATTAAAAGGTGGATGAATTTAAAAATCATTCTCAATCTCTTATATTCTTATATGAACAGTTTGGTTCAGTTATTCTGTATGTACCCTTAGAAGTATGGCTGGTTTTTGTTTTCCAGAGTTAGTAGAAATCATCTTTTTCCTGCGTTTAGCTGATGGTCAGTTAATTATGACTTCCTTTTTATTCTGCAGCATATTTTGACTACAAAGATGAGTCTGGATTTCCAAAGCCTCCGTCTTACAATGTGGCAACAACACTGCCCAGTTATGATGAAGCTGAGAGAACAAAGGCTGAGGCTACTATCCCCTTGGTTCCTGGAAGAGTAAGTCCAAATTACCATGTTACTTGCTTGCTGCTTTATGGGAATTAGGGTCTCTTCATTACCCACTTTTTTTTTTTTCAGTACCCACTTTTGATGTATTGCTTATGATTGTACTAATTCATAAACGTACAGTTAATTTTTTATTGTTTAAATTTTAGTTAACATAGAATGCAGTATTGGTTTCACGAGTACAAGTCAGTGATTCATCACTAACATACAACACCCTGTGCTCATTGCAGCAAGTGCCGTCCTTAGTACCTCACCTGTCTAGCCCATCTCCCACCCACCTCCCTCCGTCAACCCATAGCTTGGTCTCTATCATTAAGAGTCTCTTGTAGTTTGTTTCCCTCTTTTTCCCCCCTTCCATATGTTCATCTCTTTCGTTTCTTAACTTCCACATACGAGTGAAATCATAAGGTATTTGTCTTTCTCTCATTGACTTATTTTGCTTAGCATAATGCATCCTAGCTCCATCTATGTCACTGCAAATGGCAAGGTTTCATTCTTTTTGATGGCTGAGTAATATTCCATTGTGTGTATATGTGTATATACACACACATGCACACATACCACATCTTTAGCCATTCATCAGTCAGTGGACATTTGGGGTCTGTCCATGGGTTGGCTATTGTTGATGATGCTGCTATAAACATTGGGGTGCATGTGCTCCTTTGAATTTGTATTTTTGTATCCTTTGGGTAAATACCTAGGAGTGCAGTTGCTGGATCATAGGGTAGTTCTATTTTTAGTTTCTTGAGAAAGTACAGCTATTTTTTTAAAAAACAAGTACATTTTCTTTTGGGATAACAAACTCCTACCTCTTCCTGAAAATGATGTGATAAAAGTTACAGATCAGCAAAAAAAAATCACTAGTCAGGCCAGTTTAAATTTTCCCTGTATCTCCACTTCCACCACCATTTTCTCAACTTTCCTGCCCTAACTGAAACGTCTTAGAGCAGGGGCTGATTTAGGAAATACACTGACTTTGCCTTGATCTACACATTTCATATTTTGGCGTTAGGTAGATAGGGAGATTTATGGAGAGAATAAGTTCATCTTTATAGAATTAAACTTATGAAACTTATAACAGGGCCCCAGCAATTGTCTAGGTGAATCTCATGTCACCAGTAGTCCAGACCACTCCTGTGTCTGTGAGGACATAGTGAATTCGGATCCTGTAGTTTGGGTGTGATGAAAGCCAGTGGGAGATTTTAAGGCACTCTTTGTTCTTGATGTCAGATCTGCAAGTGACTAGATGTGATTTCATAAATACTCATCCAGGTTAAAGCTGATGGCAGGTAGGGCCTTGGGCCAGTATTGGGAAAATGTAGAGTAGGGGCAGTCAGGGTTCCAGACTCATCCTGAGAGGAAACTAGAGTGAATAATAAGAACAAAAACAGAGGTTTAGCCGGGACAGTGCAGTGGCATAGGCCCCAGAAGTTCAGGCCTTAGGGTAGAGGACTGTTGACAGACCATACCTACTATGAGGAGTCAGGCTCCTAAAACCACTACTTGATAGAAATAATAGTTCATAAGCCTAGACTAGGCTGATTCCATATGATAGTGTGTGCCCAGTTCTTGTAGTTTCCAGGGAGAAGCTACCAACCTTCAAGGAGCTTATTGTCTAAGGACAAAACAGTCTTCATATAATACTGGAAGCCAGCGACATGCTTGGCACGTACTCAGTTTCTAGTATATTGTTTCCAGTCCTTACAACAACCTTGCAAGATGGAGATTATTTTATCCCCATTTTACAGAATTGAGCCCAGAGAAATTAAGTAATTTGCGCAGTCATAATAGCTAATAAGTAGCACAGGTGAGAGTCACACCCAGGTATTCTAGACTCTAAAGTCCTATGTGTGTTCTTTAGTTCCCTTATATTATATGGTAACTGTCCCATGGAAATAGACCAGGAGATTAGCTCTGATTAATAACAGAACTCCTTAGAATACTTTTATTTGACAAGGATACATATTTAGGAACCTGTTAAACGTTATTTAGCAAACATGTATAGACCACTTTTTTTTTTTTTTTTTTTTTTTTTTTTTTTTTTTTTTTTTTTTTTTTACAATGTGCTATGTATTTTGTAATGGATAGGTAGAAAGTTTTGAATAAGGCAGTACTCCTGCTATACAAGAACTTAAAGACAGCTGGGGAAAAGGCCCCCAAATACCAATATCTAAGCAGCACAGGTGCCGTGAGCATGAAGAACTGTGACTTTTTACTATGTGATTGTGGGGGAAATGGGATTTGAAGTGGATCCTGAGTTTTGATGGATAAGAACATTCCAAAAGGAAAAGTCCAGAAAGCAGACATGAATTTAGCCAGTGTGGGAAAGGGTCTGTGAATGTAGTACTTGATTTTGCTTGAGCCAAGAGTTTGTGACCAGACTATAGGCTGTAGAATGTTTTGAATGCTAGGGTGAGGCATGTAGGCTTATGTGTGGGTCACACAGAATCTTTGTGAAAGTTTTTGAGCAGGGATATGATAAGACAAGTATGGTGTTTTAGAAACATTAACCCAGCAGCAATTTGTAGGAGGAATGATAGTACAGATACCAAGGACAGGAAGAACAATTAGAAGGCACCTACAAGGAGCACCTGGGTGGCTCAGTTGGCTAAGCATCACACTCTTGATTTAGGCTCAGGTCATGTTCTCACAACGAGTTCGAGCCCTGAGTCAGGCTCTGCGCGTACAGTGCAGATTCTCTTTCCCTCTCCATCTGCCCCTCTGCGGCTTGCGCAAGTGCTCTGTCTCAAAAGTAAATAAATAAACTTTTTTTTTTTTTAAAAGAAAGCACCTGCAGTATTACTAGAAATTACTTCCCTGTCTTTCTGTAGTATATCTTTGAGTATTTATGCAAAAAAAAAAACAAAACAACCCAATTAGTTTCTAATTAGGCAAGGCCTTATTTTCCTAATATGAAGTCAGAAACTGGGTACTTAGTATTTAAAAAAAAAA